AGAAACGAAAAGAATCAACAGAGTCACAGGGCCCTGCGGGACTACAGCAAAACATCTACCATTCATATCATCACAGTTTCAGAAAGACGGTAAAGAGTGAAGGGCTGAAAACATAACTGAAGAAAGCATGGCGTGGAAACAGCTCAGATTTGGTGAAAGATATAAATCTGCAGATTTAAGAAGTTTAGTAAAGCTCAAACAGAATAAACCCAAAGAAATCCATTCTGAGTCAATCAAATCTAAGTTCTGAAATCTAAAGGTAAAGAAAAAGAAAACCATGAAAGCAGCCAGAGAGAAACAACACACTGTCTATAGGGAAAGAATAATTTGAATGACAGTATGTTTTTCATCAAAAATTAAGGAGGCCAGAAAGTGATGTTACACCATTTGGGGACAGGTGGGTAAGATAGAGAAATATCAACCCAGAATTCTATATGCAGTAAAAATATCCTTTAGGAATGAAAGTGAAATAAAAGTGATCTTAGAAGAAGGAAACCAACAGAATTTGGGGCCAGCAGATCAGCTCTAATAAATTTAGTAAATATAGCTCTTCAAACAGAAAGATAATATGATAACAAGTATTAATGAGATATAGAGCAAGCAAAAAATCTGAAACATTAGGAACAAAGAAAGAGCAACTCAGTATAAATGTCTGGTAATTATAACAGACTGCTCTTATCCTCTTAAGTTTTAAAAATTATATTTTGATGGTTGAAAGCAAAAATTACAATGCCGTATGATATGGTACTCAATTTATACAGAGGTAATTTTTAAGATGACCATATCAAAAAGAAGGGTAAAAGGACCAAAGTCGTGGTAAGGTCTCTATACTGTACTTAAAGTGGTAAAATGTAGACTGTGATAATGTGTATATGTACACATGTATGTGTGTATGTGTGTATTTTTTTTTTAGACTATGATAAGTATGGAAATTTTAATCCCTACAGCCATCTCACACATACATATACAGATACAGAAAAACAAAACAAAACAATTCCAGCAAAACAAACTATACAACGAAATTCATTAAAAATCACAATATATCAAATACAGCAAGTGCTCACTTAGAAGTAGGAGTAAGCTATGGATATGCATAGTCATATAGAATGTTATAGGTGAAGAAATAATGACTTGAAAACAACTTTAATCTTGTTTTCCTTTTCCTTCCTATTTCTTGAATATTTTTAATATTTCATTTAAAAAATATTCAGAAGGTGGAAATTGGGGGGTGAGAGACAAAAATTACCTACGGGGTACAATGTACACTATTTGGGTGCTGGGCATACTAAAAGCCTACACTTGGTGACTGTACAATTAACCCATGTAAAAGAAAACCATTTGTACCCCCTAAATATACTTATTTATTTAACTTTTTTTTTTATTGTTGAGGATTCACTGAGGGTACAAGAAACCAGGTTACAATGATTGCATTTTTTAGGTAAAGACCCTCTTACAATCATGTCTTGCCCCCAAAAGATGTGGCCCACACCAAGACCCCACCCCCTCACTCCTTCCCTCTCTCTGCTCTTCCTTTCCCGACCCCTCCCTCCTTCTTTCTTTGCTCTTCCCTTCCCCTCCCCCCACCGTGTCATTAATTGTCCTCATATCAAAATTAAGTACATAGGACTCATGTTTCTCCGTTCTTGTGATGCTTTACTAAGAATAATGTGTTCCACTTCCATCCAGGTTAATACAAAGGCTGTAAAGTGTCCATTTTTTTAAATGGCTGAATAGTATTCCATAATGTACATATACCACAGCTCGTTAATCCATTCCTAGGTTGGTGGGCATTTAGGCTGTTTCTACATTTTGGCAATTGTAAATTGAGCTGCAATAAACAGTCTTGTGCAAGTGTCCTTATGATAAAAGGATTTTTTTCCTTCTGGGTAGATGCCCAGTAATGGGACTACAGGATCAGATAGGAGGTCTAGCTTGAGTTCTTTGAGGGTTCTCCATTCTTCCTTCCAAAAAGGTTGTATTAGTTTGCAGTCCCACCAGCAGTGTAAAAGTGTTCCTTTCTCTCCACATCCATGCCAGCATCTGCAGTTTTGAGGTTTTGTGATGTGGGCCATTCTCACTGGGGTTAGATGATATCTCAGGGTGGTTTTGCTTTGCATTTCTCTAATAATTAGGGATGATGAGCATTTTTTCATATGTTTGTTAGACATTCATCTGTCTTCTTTAGAAAAGGTTCTATTCATATCTCTTGCCCATTGATTTATGGGATTGTTGGCTTTTATCATGTGGATTAATTTGAGTTCTCTATAGATTCTAGTTATCAAGCTCTTGTCTGATTCAGAATATGCAAACATCCTTTCCCATAGTGTAGGTTGTCTATTTGCTTTGGTTGTTGTCTCCTTAGCTGTACAGAAGCTTTTCAGTTTAATTAAGTCCCATTTGTTTATTTTTGTTGTTGTTGTAATTGCCACGGCAGTCTTCTTCATGAAGTCTTTCCCCAGACCAGTATCTTCCAGTGTTTTTCCTATGTTTTCTTTCAGGACTTGTATTGTTTCACAAGTCCATAAATGTTATCCACAGAAGCAAAAACAAAGACCATATGATCCTCTGAATAGATGCAGAAAAAGCATTTGATTAAATCCAGCATCCTTTTCTAATTAGAACACTGAAGAGGATAAGCATACATGGCACATTTCTGAAACTGATGGAAGCTATCTATGACAAACCCACAGCTAATATTTTACTGAATGGAGTAAAACCGAAAGCTTTTCCTCTTAGAACTGGAACCAGACAAGGTTGTCCTCTGTCACCATTACTATTCAAC